AGGAGATTGGGTTTATACCCTGCCCTTCACTACCCAAAGGTGTCTCAGAGTGGCTTACAAACTCCTTTACCTTCCCCTCCCCACAACAGACACCCTGTGAGGGAGGTGGGGCTGAGAGAGCTCTGACAGGAACTGCTCTTTTTCAAGGACAGCTGTGCCAGAACTATGGCTTGCCCAAGGTCATCCAGCAGCTGCGAGTGGAGAAGTGGGGAATCAAACCCGGTTCTCCCAGATTAGAGTCCGTGCACTTAACCGCTATGGAACTACGGTGGCTCAAGTGGTTAAGATGCTGAACTGCAGGCTGTGGAAGGTTGGTAGTTCAGCAGTTCGACACCCAGGTGCTGCATGACAGAGTGAGCTCCCATCTCTAGTTCCAGCTCCTGCCAACCTAGCAGTTTGAAAGCAAGAAATTGCAAGTAGATAAATCGGTACCGCTTTGGTGGGAAGGAGACAGCGTTCTGTGCGCCTTGGTGTTTAGTCATGCCTGCCACATGACCACGGAAACGTCTTTGGACAGCGCTGGCTCTTCGGCTTTGAAACGGAGATGAGCACCGCCACCCTAGAGTCAGACTCGACTGGCTTTCGAGCAAGGGAACCTTTACCTTTACTTAACCACTACACCAAACTGGCTCTAAACGCACTCATGACCCAGGTAAAGCAGGCCCAGTCACAGAAGAGGAGATTAAGGGGGCGGGAGCCCTGTCCAGGGGCAGCAGAAATTACTCTGGCCATGGTCTCTCCCGGGGCTTCCGTGTCCGTAGCAGAGATTTCAGTATCTCGCTGGCTTTTCCCACTCTTGTCCTCTTTTTCTGGTGCCCTCTCCCGGCGGAAGAGGCTGCAGACCTCACTCTAACTTACCGTCTTTCTTCTTGACCCAATAGATGGGCACTTCCTCGCACAGAGAGCGGACGGCTTCGCCTGCCTCCTCGGGCCGGACGGGTCTTCCCGGCACGATCCCCAGGAACTCGCGGTAGTACCTCGTCCGGTCGTTGGGAAGCGGTAGCTGATCCACCTTGCAAGAGGAAAGGGAAGGTGGGGCGGTGGCTTGCTAGAACCGACCCGCCTCCGGTCAAACTGCAGGGAACACGCCTCTGTGCAAAGGCTTGCTAGAACCGACCCGCCTCCGGTCAAACTGCAGGGAACACGCCTCTGTGCAAAGGCTTGCTAGAACCGACCCGCCTCCGGTCAAACTGCAGGGAACACGCCTCTGTGCAAAGGCTTGCTAGAACCGACCCGCCTCCGGTCAAACTGCAGGGAACGCCTCCATGTAAAATAGAACGACAGCAGACTGACCGCCACCAAAGTCTGTCCTGCCGTGGCATGCATGCACTGACTCCCTGCCCCGTCATTAAAAGAGAGCAGGGGCCACACCCGACCCCGAAGAAGGATTGGATTTACACCCCGCCCTTCACTACCCAAAGGAGTCTCAGAGCGGCTCACAATCTCCTTTCCCTTCCCCTCCCCACAACGGACACCCTGTGAGGTAGGTGGGGGGCTGAGAGAGCGCCAAGAGAACTTGTGACTGACCCAAGGTCACACCAGCTGTAGGAGTGGGGAATCAAACCCGGCTCTCCCAGATTAGATTCTGCCACTCTTAACCACTACACCAAACTGGCTCTCCTTCCTGCTCCTGCTGAGAACTCTTAGTCGGCTGACTCTCTCCTACCTAGACAGTTGGACTTCTCTCTCTCTCCTCTTTCTTACAAAGTTTGTAGTAATAATAATAATAATTGGATTTATACCCTGCCCCTCATTTGAGTCTCAGAGCGGCTTACAATCGCCTTTCCCTTCCCCTCCCCACATCAGTCGCCCTGTGAGGTAGGTGGGGCTGAGAGAGCTCTCTCGAGGACTGCCCTTGAGAGAACTTGTGACTGACCCAAGGTCACACCAGCTGGCTGCACGTGGAGGAGTGGGGAATCAAACCCGGTGCTCCCAGATGAGAGTCTGTCGCTCCTAACCACGACACCACACTGGAGGCCACAGGGAGTGGCATTGTGACTTTCCTGACAGGGCACACAAGTCCCAATTCAAGCTAGCATGCCTCCCCACCTTGCCTGAGGGCTGTCAGAAACCTTCCCCCACACAACGCCTAGTCCGCATTTTACTGCACCCGATTCCTTGCTTTGAAGCCACACAGACGTAAAGGGGCTCGAGTCCCCAGCTGAGGCGGGCAGGTTCTTCCTGCTATGGAAACTAACCCTGCTTCCCCGGCTCTCCCTGTGGGCCCACCGAGCCGGAAGACCCCATCCACGCTCCTGGCAGGCTCTGCGTTAGCAAGCTTGTCGGGCAGATCACATTCCCCCGATGTCGTTCCAGTGTTGCGGGGGCGTCTCGGGAGAGCTGGCAAGGGACAGCGGCTGCCAACTGGAGCGGGGAGCCGTAAGCCAATGCCACCGAGAACTTTGTTCCTGACATTCACGGGGAAACAGGGCCCTCTGTCTTCCCGAAACCAGACCTCTGCCCTCTCCCTTCACTGGAGCTATTAACATTTCGCCTGAAAGGCCGGCGGAGATCATTCCTCAAGCGTCTCTCACTGACAAGAGACCCTTTGTTTTGCGGGCTTTTACCGGAATTGCCACAAGCCGGTAACAGGATCCCCACTCCGAGTTAACGTGGTCGGGTTTTCCCCTCTCGCTACTCTCCGACCCGGCCATTGTCTGCGGAGGGGAGAGACAGGAGCGGCCTTGGGCAGTCCTCACGTCCTACTCTCCGGGAGCAGACGGGACTGGGCTGGATGGGCGGACCAGCGATCCAGTGCTTTAGACAGCATCTCCGTATGTTATGCCCCCAGCCCTCACCAATTCCGAAACCCATGAGAAGAAAGCCCCACAAAAGAGGGCTTTCCAAGCCACAAAATTGCCTTCCTGTGCCACCGAAGCTCCCCAAAGGTTATAGAATCACAGAATCACAGAGTTGGAAGGTGACCCTAGAGGCCATCTAGTCCAGCCCCCCCCCCCCGCTCAATGCAGTAAAAAAGTTTTTCCCTAATATCCAGCCGGTACCTTCCTGCCCTTAATTGAGAGTCCTCTCCTCTGCTGCCAACAGGAACAGCTCCCTGCCCTCCTCTAAGGGACAGCCCTTCACAGACTTCAAGAGAGCCGTCACGTCCCCCCCTCAGCAGTATTCCCTCTAAGCTGAGTTAGTGTGAGCTAGCTCACAGATTTTCAGCCTCCGGCTCACACATTTTTTGTCTTACCTCAGGAAGGGAGGGCTCCAGAGCTAGCTAATTTATGCAGTAGCCATATCGCTTGCTCACAACTTTAATGCCAGTAGCTCACCAAGTAGAATTTTTGCTCACAAGACCCCACAGCTTAGAGGGAACATTGCGCCCTCAGTCTCCATTTCTCCAAAGTCCCTCAGCCTTTCCTCATAAGGCTTGGTCTCCAGGGCTGTATCTGGTTCCTCAAGGACCTGGTATTCAGTGGTAGACTGCCTCAGTACAGGTAGGCTCCATTTCGCCAGCAGGACTAAAACCAGTTGGGCCCGCTCTCCCATGTTCGCACAGCCCTCTTTGAAACCCATCTGAACCAGGGGCCATCGCTGCCCACGCCCAGGGGAAGGGGCTCCCTCGCCTCCCAGACAGAAAAAACTGACGGCCACCTTTTTACACAGGCGCTTCGGTCCGGGGTCCAGCCCAGGCAGCAGGGTGGTGGGGGGGGGGTTCCTACAGAGGCTGCTCACCCTGCGCTGGGAGAGGTCGAAAGACTCCCGCACCGTCTCCCAGTCCTGGCCGTCCATCATTCTCAGGAAACAGTTCTTTTGCTCGGCGGGCTTGTAGCAGACGTAACCCTGTGTGGGGGAGACGAGACAGGCAGAGGGCTGGATCCATCCGGTGCGATCCTGAGTATGGCACAGGTTGCAAGACCTCTTCCTGCACTTCCTCATACCCAGAGGCCGGGTTCTGATTTGCCCCCAAGTGGCTGATTCCCAGAGCGCAAGGGGGCCCAGGCCTGCCCACAGTTCACCCGCCCCTTGGCCAGAAGCGGCAGAGGGCAAAGGGCTCCCCAAGAACGGCCTTCTCCTGGGAGGTTCCCATCGGACCCCCCCCCATTTTATTTATTTAAAACGTTTCTCTGCCACCTTCCATCCAAACAGGGCCCTCCCCCAAGGTGGCAAACAGCAAACCTTTAAAATAAACCACGTAATTCAATAAAAAAAAGGGAAAGGTTCCCCTTGCTCGAAAGCCAGTCGCATCCGACTGTAGGGTTGCAGTGCTCCTCTCCGTTTCCAAGCCGAAGAGCCAGCGCTGTCTGAAGACGTTTCAGTGGTCATGTGGCCGGCGTGACTAGATGCCAAGGCGCACAGAACGTTGTTACTTTCCCACCGAAGCGGTACCTATTTATCTACTTGCAATTTCTTGCTTTCGAACTGCTAGGTTGGCAGGAGCTGGAATCAGAGACGGGAGCTCACTCTGGCATGCGGCACTCGGGTCTCGAACTGCTGAACTACCGGCCTTCCGGTCT